AGCCCAGTGGTGTCCCCCAAGCTCAGAATTGCTCTGTCCTTGCCGAAGAGAGCAGTTTGCAGGCAAAGCCTGTGCCTGGCTTCCCTCCCTGGTTGGGTGTCAGTAACAGGAAAAGGGCCCTAGCTGCAGAAGAGGAGAAGGGGGCAGGGTGGGCAAAGGGAGCGAACAGCTGCGTGCTCCATGGGGAGGATCCCCAAAATAGCAAGGCACATGCGCACTGCAGGCCTTGACCCAGAAGGCTCCGAGTTGCACTGTAAACCCAGCTCTCCTCTGTGCAATGGGGCTGCTGATGAGACCACAGCCATCCTTAGGGGTCCTCTGTATTCCAAACAGAGCTCCAAGGACACATTGTTCCTTGCTTTTCTGGTGGAAAAAAATAATTTTGAGCCAATGCCAATTTTTGTTTGTTAAAAATGTGCCAAGAACAGCCATAGCCTGTGTGCTGTAGGACAAGACCACATCTCTGTCTTATGCATCATAATCTTAGAGACCCTGAAGTAGACAAGGAGCTCACTTCACCATTGTGGCAACTGGGGCCCCAAGGCTCATGTTAAGAACTCAGTAAGTAGTTGGGTCTGCTCCGAGGCAACATCTGGGTCTCCACAGTGCAACCAACATACATAGGATTCTCTCTCTTGAGGCCAGACTTTCACCTGTAGCAGGCCTACAGCCTACATGAAGTAGAGAATACTGGCAAAGACACCAACCGTTGAACCTTGAGATTTCAGCGTCATTTCAATTCTCCACACGCCTTCCCATACAACTCCAAAGCAGCCTGGTTTGCTGCCAGGCTGGAAGTAGAAAGGGAATGAGAGAAAGATGCTAGCTGCTCTTCACCTGTTATGCCACTGGGGTGAAAGCACCAGGACACCTGGAAATCGCTTCTGTCCACTGCTCTTTTCTGAGACTCCAGGGCTGAGTGTATATATTGGAGCCTCTAACCTAGGCATAGGAAGCAGAGTTGCTCCACGTGGTCTCAAACTTCAACAGAGAATAGACTTGCTCTCAGTGAGGGAAGACTACAGCCCTGGATCCCAGAATCTAGCCTAGAGCTATGCATGTCCAAGAGGTTCTGGGATTGTGGCAGGAGGCCAGACATAGACAGGCCCTTCTAAATCATATCAGTGCTCTCAGAATTCAAGATGAAGGGGACTTGTTCCAGGTTATTCCACTATTCACAGCTTTGAAACTCTGAGATCTCCTTTGTGAGTTTAGTACTTTGTGTGCAAAGAAAAGAGATGAGCTCCAAGGTCCATGGGCACAGACCTTGACCTGGATTCCACACCACAGAGGAGGTGAAGAGAGCGCCTCCTACTGGGTATTCTTAAAGAAATGGGTCAGCTGGAACAGGGGACACTACTATCTGAGTCATCCAAAAGCTCCACATACTCTTTATGGGGTGGCGATATGTGCTCTTTTTCCAGAATGCAGTTCCTCACTTTCAATGAGAGGTGAGGAGACAGACTTGGATGGGTTTGGACTATTCAGTAGGACAGAGCATACTGCCTTTAGGATGGCCTATTCAATGTGGATGTAGCTCCCCACCCTCTCACTTGTTTTTCTCTACAAGGTACTGGCTTCCTCAGGCCTTAGTATTTTTTACGTAAAGAAAGTGATAAGAACATCCTCTCTTTCAGGCAAAGAGTAGTTGGCAAGCTTATAAGGGATACTGGGCATGCCAACTTATTGTAACCTATAGAGTTATTTAGTAACATTGAGGCACTGAATACAGATGATGAACAGAGTGTACATGCCCTTTTCTTCCCCAAATTTAGTGACTTAACTTCCCCATTTTTTATTATACTTAGAGAGTTTATGGTATTTCTTTTGGCAGTAATGGGGACTGAAAGTGGAGTTTGGGGCATGCTGCAAAAGCACTGTGCCCACTGGGCTAGAGCCCCAGGCCAACTCCTCCACTTTGCTTAGAAAGTGCTGGAAAAATGGAATAGGTGGTGACAGGGGCATAAATGATACATGACTCTGTAGGCTCTGGAGCCTCAATGCCTTCGAGCCTTTTGATCAGCCTACTGGATCTGTAGAAGGAGTCCAGTCTTAACTTCAAAGGAAAGGACGTGATGTTCCACACGCCGACGCTGTCTACTAACCTTGGCCACATGGGCAAGCATTGCCAGAGGAAACCTCTTTTTTTGGGCCACAGCAATCATTAAGTGATCCTGGTACAAGATGAACAATGATGCTGAAAAGGAACTTGAATCACTACATTTCTTTACAATGCACTCAGCATTTTGGTTTATAAACAAGCTTTCCATCTAAGGAGCAGCAGGGTACAGCACAAGAAAAAGGGCCCTGTAATCTGCCTGTTAATAGGTCTGTGACTTGGCTCAAGGTGCTTAGCTTCTCTGCACCTCAGTTTCCTTAGGGTAATCAGGAGAGGGCTCTCGAAATGCTAAGCAAAGTACTGCCATCTAGTCAATGCTGAACTCAAGGTTCTTGCACTTGGTTTGTCTGAATTGTGTTTTTTCTATAGGGCAGTGGATGAACACTGCAGTTATTTAGGAGCAGGTGTAAGGCTAGAACCCCAGGCTCTTGGGCCCTGGCTTGAGGCTAAAAATATTGGTCACTTCAAATTCCCTTCTTTCTTCAAAGGATCTCTCAATTGTTCATATGAAAATTCCAGAGAAGTTAAAATCCTCTCCTCTAGTGGCACATGCCTGTAATCCCAGCACTCAGTAGATTGAGTCAGGAGGGTCATTACTTCCAGGTCAGTCTCGGCTACAGGATGAACGATTCTGTCTCTATGTAAACAAATCTCTCCTGTCAGACTGATAGAAGTTTATTTTATGATTTTAATGTGATACAGTTTTTTTTTCTGTTAGGTTGGTTTTCAATTCAACAAAAAGAAACCAATTAAGGTTACCCCCCAGAGCAGATTTCTGTGTTCGGAAGGCTTTCGGGCTGATGTCAGGTGGCACAAACAATGAGCTCCCAGACTCATGTTGTTTCTTGGGACCAGAGAGCAGTATTAACCCTGGATGTCATTAAGTCTCAGAAAGACAGCAACAATGGAAACCTTTGAAATCCAGCTAAGGCCACACGTGGCAGCGCAAGGCTGGTTACTGCTAAGTACAGCCTTCTTCCATGATGGTTTGAATTCTTACAGAAACTTCTTTGAACAGCAGGTCTTCTTGTTGTTGTTGAACACCCAAGGATACGCTGCTATTAACCTGTCAATTTCGGAATCTTACTTTTCTAATAGCCTGCTGTTTAGATCGCCAGCATCTGCCCCAAAGCTGGAAGCTAACACTGGACACCTTCCTGAGGCTACAGGGATTGATTGGCCACTAAAACCCAGCTGCTTTCTCAGCACACCAAGAGCTGCCTGGATGGTTACGGATGCGAGCAACAGTGCTTACCGGGCACTGGGTAGTGGGCTCTTTCAGCACCATCCGTTCTGGTGACCACATGTGTCTTCCAAGACAGATGCAGTTTCATCTGGGAAGAAGGCTCAGCTGATGGAGCTGTCTTCAGAAACTTGGGTAGGTATATTTTTGGACCCCTTCAATTGGGGCAAAATCACTGGTCTTCTACGTCAGCTTGGCACTTCAAAAATAGCCAGGCCACTCTGAGCCAAAGACAGAGAATGAGGTGTGCCATGGAGGAAGAAGAGCTGATTGTGATTAAGTGTAAGGTGTGACTCTAAAGCAATGAATGTGCATTTTTTTGGGTAAGGCTTACAAAGGGTTCAAGCAGTCATTTGCTGTGAGAACCCAAGCCGGAAAATGGCATTAGCAGTGGTAGCTGCTCTTGAGTGGGAACTGCTCCGAGGACCCACTCCCAAGACAGCCATCCCTATACAGATGGAAACAAAAGTGCCACTCACTTACCAGACACACTTTAGTTTTACAAAGTATCTGAACAGTAAGTGAGGAACAGGGAAACCTCCTTCCTGTACCTATAGCCCACCCACATTTATGCCTAGGTTTTGGCCCAAGTAAGTGGAAAATAAAGAATTTAAAATCAAGCCTAAACTGGGGACATGCTAGGTGCTTTCCTTTGTAGACTCAGATGTTAACCAACAAAGAGCAGTCTGGAACATAAAGGGTGGTTACAACGGATGTTAGAGACTCTCTTCTGGGAATGTGTCAACTGGTGAATGGCAGGTCATAAACAGGTCACACTGGCCAACCAATCTATTTGTCTCTGGCCATCCCATGTGACTGCCCATTCCTGTGAAGGTTGTGGTACTCCAGTCACCGGAGTTTTTAGAAGGTTATGCACTTGACTTAATAGCGTCTCCTCAACACATTGTTGACAATGAAAGGAAAAAAGAGAAATATGATTCAATCACTCACACCTGTACACAGAACAAAATCCCTAAAATGAACAAAGCAGATTGCCCTGGGAACTGGGGAAGATAAGTCTCCCAGTTCTGTGAAATGACATTACCTCAGAGCTCAGGGCTCCCAGGTCCATGAGCAGGAAGGAAACAGACCCATGGCTCTATAGGAACCATTTCCCCTCTGCTCTATTACTTTCAGAGATTAAGCAAGCCACTCCTCTGTGGGCGAATACCCCGAGATAACAGCCATTGTGTGTGCTGCAGCTCCTGCTAACCTAATCTTGGTAGAGTGGTGATGGTGCAGGCACCGGCTGTCAGACTCCAGCAACCAGAGGCTCTCATACTTCCTACCGTCAAGCTTTCCCTTAGAGCTACTACTGGAACCCCTAATACTAAGCCTCAGACACTTGGGCCATGGCTGAATTCCTAAAGAAGGAAGCACAAATGTGACAGTGACTTTGAGAAAAGATATTAGGGTTGGACAGTTAAATAGGAATCCTTTCCTTTGCCCAATTTCTTAGTATTTTTATTATAGAAACCCACAGGGGCAGGGGTGGGTCTTTTTGATTCAAGTCTCTTATATGTTCAGTTAGTCTCCAATACAAATATGCACAAAGAATTTCAACAACACATCTCATGTTCAAATGTAAGGTTAGAAACATTCAACACCCCCCCTCCCCGCCATAGCCCATTTTCTGACCGATTCCTGGAGCCTTCTGGACTCCTGACGATTTCCCGCCATGTTGAAATGGGGCAGCATGCTCTCGAGTATGAGTCGACTTTTCCAGTCATCCATTGTTTGACCTGGAATTTTATTCTTGACTCTCCAAGGCGTTTTCCAAACGACCTAGACACAGGGCTTAAGGAGACAAAAAGTATACTCTCTTTCAGACATGATGATGAGACCTTGACCCCGTGAAGCACAGACTTTCAACTCTGAAGGCAGGCTTGTGTAGTATCTGCCTCATTCATTTTTCTGTCTCTTTCCACTATGCCACCCTCATAGGCCACCTCCCGCCACCCCACCCCCGGAATGAGGAATACTTCTGTGAGCCACTTGCCCAGGATAAAATGGCCATCCATGCCATGAGATAGATAAGCTGTACTAGAACACAGAGGAGCAGGTGGAGGAGGAGCTTGATGAGACTAAAAGAGCGCTGGAATACAGTTGGGCAAAGGGAGTCCTAGTTCTGGCTTTGATTTTGTGTGGGACACAGGGAGGGCTCTGTTATTTTCTGAGATAGTTCATTTCAGTGACAGACTCAAATTGATGGCTTAGAGCCTTTGCAACTCTGGCCACATTAGTACCCAGCCAAGTGATCAGACCAACAATTCCAATCACAATTGACACCAGGAAAGAAGGAATGGATGCGGAAAGGGGCTCCAGACAGCCTGGTGCATCACTTGACAGGGCACCAAAGGAGCTACTCCAGCACATCCTGCAGGATGAATAGACATGCAAACCCAGGAAAAGCTCTTTTCTGTTTTCCACAAACTACATGTGAGATAAAAACTATGTTAAGGTATTCAAATACGGGGTTAGCTTTCGTTGCTATAACCTTTCTTGCCTATATCGTACCAGGCACCACAATCTTGATTTTATAAAAGTCAGAAAACCACTTCCCCCCATTTTCCCACTGAGTGAAAACAACTCCTCTGTCATGTTATATAAAACACACATCAGAGGATTCTGAAGATAGAGAGAATATAAATTGACGAGGAACCTTGGAATCTAATGAGTAACACTGATGAGTTCCCTGGGATTTCTTTTGCTTCAAATATTTTACTAGATTTAGAGCCAAAGAAACCAGCAACCTCAAATGCCAATGGGCACAAACAAATACTCCAACAGAGGCTTGCTTTCAGGACCAGGAAAGAGCCCTTTGAGACAGAAAACCTTAACCCAAGCCATTCTAATCTAGCTAAGCAACAGAAAAGACACTGTAGTGTCACCCCATTCCACCACCCAAGACCAAGGAGGGGAGTCTACTGTACCCCTACTTGGCAGCAATGAGACACTTCTGTCAACCCCACAGGAACGCTGGTAGGAGATGTCTGGTGTGGACTTGGATACATCAGGCTTGCCTAGCAGTAATGAGGGGTCCCAGCCTACTTTACATCAAAGAAGCTGTCTAGGTTACTTGGACTTCTATATTACCAGGTAAAAGAAAGATGCTATCCCTCTTTCCTGCCAGACCAATCAAAACAGAAGATTTAAATAAAAGCCAGTTTTAAAATATTAAAAATATCCTGATTTTAGTAAAAAGACAGCTATTCCAAGACCAAAAGGTCTAAAGCTTAATGAAAAAAATTATTAATTGAAATGTCACCAAGATGATACAAATATTACAATAACCTGACTAGAATTTTAAAATAGCAGTTATGTAAATGCTTCTCTTAAGAGATACAATAATGCTTTCAACAAAGTGGCAATCTCAGGAAATTGAAATATTAGAACCAGGATCCACAGTGACCTAGATAACCTTGGTGAATGGGACCAAAAGCAGAAGGAAACAGTCAATTTCTTGTACCCTTTGTAGCCCAACTTCTGCAATGTGAAGCCAAAGACTGGGAAAGAATGACAGAAAAATGACACACTACCTATGGGAGACATTAATTTCAATGATGGCAAGTATTTGCTCAGAAGCCATGGAAGTCTCAAGAAAATAATGTAACGATTCTCAAATGTAGGGTTGTGGGGGAGAGCTTCAACACAAAATCTTATTGGAAATGTTTCAGCTGTGGAAGGGGAATCTGGACAATCTTAGATGGAGGGAAACCAAGGGAATTTATCAACAACACATGTCTACTAAGATAATAATTAAAGGGAGTTCTCCACTGAAGAAGAAATGATGTATTGGCAAAGAAGAAAGAACAATAGAAAGAGAAAAACAATATGATTAAATAAAATAGATTTTCCTCCATGCTTAAATTTCATAAATTATGTTGATTGTTGAATTACCAATTATAACATTTTCTAATATAGTTATAAATATGTATGAAAGAAATATTTAACACAATTCCATTATAAACAGAAGTAAAAGGGTAGAGAGAAATGCAGGGTTTTCTACTTCATTAAAGGTAGTAAAATGTTGACACCAGTTGTACATTCATTTTAACACACAGACAGGAGTATTGAGGGCAACTTCCACAAAAAGACAGAGTAAAAACACTATACATGAATCAAATATTATTCTAAATATTACTCAAGTAATGCATAGGCATAGAAAGTTAGTAAAAAGAAAAATTGGGGGAAATCTTATGGGGAACTGAAAGAAAACATATAAATGGGTAGAAAACCCCACTAATATCAGCAGATATATTAAACAATGGCCTAAGAGTTTGGCAAATAAGATAAAAAAAGATAACCTAATGATATAGTATTTCAAGAGGTTTGCTCAAATATAATAATTTAAGGAGATTAATGGCATTGGAATTTTGATTTGAGATGATTGCACTGAGCCAGTAGATTGCTCTGGGTAAGATGATCTTTCCAGAATATTAATACTTCGATCCCATGAGCATGGGATGACTTTCCATCTTTCAGTGTAAATTTCTTTCTTCAGTGTCATAAAATTCCTATTATAAAGATTTTTAATTTTCTTAGTCAGGCTTGTTTCCAAATACTTTGGGTGGCTATTGTGAATGAGATTATTTCCCTTTATTTTTCAGTCTGTTTGTCATTGGTATACAGGAAAGTTGTTGGGCTTTGTGTGCCAATTTTGTATCTTGCCACTTGGCTCAAATTAATTATCTCTAAGAGTACTTTTTGTGGAGTCTTTGGTGTCTCTTATATATAGAATCATCATCTGCAGATAGGGATACCTTGCTTTCTTTCCCTGTTTGTATCCTTTTTATTCCCTTCTCTTGTCATGTTATTCTGACTATGACTTCAAGTACTAAATTAATAGACGGAGAGAGTGTGGACACCTTTGCCTTATTTCTGTTCATAGTGGGAACTCTTTTGAGGTTTTTCTCCATTTAGCATGATGTTAGCAGTGGGCTTGTTGTATATAGCCTGTATTATACTGGGGAATGCTTCCTCCATCCTTTAATGACTTGTCATTAAAGGATGTTGGGGTTTGTTCACAAATTTTTCTGTGTCTACTGAGATGCCCATGTGAATTATCTTTTGTCCATTTAATGATATATGTATGTTGAATCATCCCTGAGTTGATGGAATAAAGCAGGTTAGTCATGATGAATGATCTTTTTAATGTGATTTTTAATTCAGTTTGCCAGTATTGTATTGGAAAATTTCTGCATCTTTATTTATCAGGAAAATCAGTCTGTAATTTTATCTTATTTTATTTTATTTTTATGCAGTGACTTGATTTGAATATCATCAGGGGACTTCTAGTTTTGTTAAATAAAAGACAGGATGCCTTTTTTTTCTATTTTATGGGATAATCTAAGTAATTTTTAAAAATTCTGGTAGCATTCTTCTATGAATCCATCTGGTTCTGAGCTGTATTTTTTTTTTTAGTTGGGAGGCTTTTTATTACTGTTTCAGTCTTATCACTGATTATAGATGCTTAAATTATTTATTTAATTTTAGTTTAATTTTGATATGTCATAGGACATCTTTATCAGTTGCCCCATTCCAGGCTCAGGGAATATCATGAAAGAGGCAGAAATACTATAAGACCCAGAGGATGGAGAAAGGGGACATAAAGCTGTTTTCTGGACATGACGCGACTATCAGATTTTTGAACACATAGCAGCTATTGTTACATGCACAAGACAATATAAGGTCAGTCCAGGTCAAATTTTGGCATAGACTGGGGCAAGTGATCTTCAACTCCATGCTATACTGAGGAGTTATTGACAGTATATAGTTGTTGGGGAGCAAGAACCACTCTTTTGTGAGGAAGTGGCCACTGATATACTACCTATGCTCAAGTGGATGACACCACTCTTCTGCACATATGGGCAGCACCAAGATAAGAAGGTGGGAATGCGACATATTAGGGGAATGTGAAGGGCAGCTGGAAAAGGGAAATGGGGAATGGATTTGATCATACTTATTGTATACATGTGTGAAACTTTAAAGAATAAAGAAAAACTATTATAGAAGGAAATAAATTATGTGAACAATAAATGAGATCAAGACTATTCCAGTAATAAAGCTAGATAAGCTAGATTTTAGGGCAAAAATTGATTGAGAATGGAGAAAGACATTACATAATGATAAAGACATCAATAATAAAAAACGTCTTCTAAACAAGTGAGCTGAAAATATAGGATATACAAGTGAACTAAAAAATGATCTACAAAAATTTAGAAGGATTGAAACAATACATGGTATTTTCTGTGACTACAATGGAATCAAACTAGAAAACAATAATAGAAAAAGAGATAAAAATTTCAAAACACTTAGAAACAAAAGTTCTAGCTTTAAAAATTGTGTCAAAATTCTGAAGCAAATAAATATGTTGACTGTGATTATGAATGAAAATGAAACTTGTGGAGTATGAGCAAAGTTGTTCCAAGAGCATCAAACGTTTGCATTAGAAGCGAGGGCATAATTGAAGCTCTCAAAGCACTTTGAAAAAGAAAATAGAAACTCAAAAGCAAGCAGAAGGAAATGATAAAAATTAAAATAAATGATACTGAAAAGAAAAACAATAGAGATAAACCCAATGGGAAAAGCTGTATTTGACAAAGTAAGTAAAGTTATTAAACCTGAAAACTAAAAATTATGATGAATGAAAAAGGAGTGCTTACTACATACCCTGCAGATAAGGAAAACACTGTTATACACATTAAATTTGGAAATTTTAAAGAAATGGAGCAATTTTTCTAAAGGACACGTGACCAAAGGAATTGAAATTGTTAAAATTCCTGACGTGAAAGTTC